TTCCCTTAGCATTCTTCATTTGGGTAAGATTTCAGGTTTTTGGTTCAAGGAGTAAATTTACACTCAGTGTGGGTGGGGAAGTGAAGTAGTCCGAAGGCATGAATTCTAACCCAGGCTTTGCCACTGACCATCCCTACACCACCGTAAATTATTATTTGAATAATTAGCTCTTGTGTTTAGTACCCGGAACTACCGAGATCCCACTCAGCTCCCTCTTTCGAAGAGCTAGCAGTCTGACCCAACTCAAAGGAAGATGAAAATACAGTGTAAAAAGTGGTGTGGCAGCTACATACGGGGCACGACATCCATAGGGCACCTAAGCAAGCCAGAGATGACTTTGAGAGAAAAGCAACTCAAAGATTTGGAGAACCGGAAAATGCACGTTCTCTCTTCTGAGGACTGATTAAAATGCATGTCTGGGACGAACCCTCCTCAATTTTGCTTCTTAACTGGCCACCACCCCTGGTCGGATGCAATCCGAACCTCCCGCCTCTCTGCCCAGAAAGAAACTGCTCTCAAAATTACTTTTTTTCTTGGTGTCGCCAGCAGGTTCCTCTGTCCCCGGGGAGACTGCAGCGGAAGAAGGGGGTTCCGGAGTGGCAGTTTCTGGGGAGACCTCCGTAAGTCCTTCGCCGCCAGCGGCAGTGGAGGGAGGTAGCTGCAGCACAGACTCTTGCTCCTCGGCCATCTTGCTCGGTGGGAAGCGGAAGCGGAAGTGGCGGCTGAGCGCTTGCAGCGGGCAGGCTTTGAGCCTGGGAATGTCGCAAAGGAGGCGCCGGAGTGGGGGACGGAACCCAACAGTGAAAGTTGGAGTTTCCTAATTGTCTTCCATACCCAAACTGTCGCAGACCCCTGACAGTTAGTATCATATTGGCTGTTTTTCTGAAGCAAAAAACCCAGGGAGGGGGGCCGTAAGCAATACCCACGTCCCCCGCCGACTGCACGGACGCCCCTCAGGCCAGTGGGCTCGGACCTGGAAACGTTTCCGCTTCCCTCCGCGCCTGCCCCGCCCCGGCCCCGCCCCTCCCCGGCCCCGCCCAGCGGCTCGGGAGCGCGCTCGCGCGCGTGCGGGAGGGGGCGGGTGGGGAAAGATCGCCGGCGAGATCCCGAGGCGAGGCTCGCGCGCCCGCCCCCGCCCCGGCCCCCAGCGCCCACCCGGTCGGCCCGGCCCAGCCATGATCAAGGCGATCCTCATCTTCAACAACCACGGGAAGCCGCGGCTTTCGAAGTTCTACCAGCCCTACGTGAGTATCCAGCCGCCGCCGCCGATCCGGGCGAGGGGGAGTCGTTGGCGACGGGCAGCGCCCAGCGCGGCTTCCTCAGAGCGACCCTCCGGCGCGCTGCG